ATGCACCCCAAACTGTCGCTCTGTCGCTATAGCGAGAAGGCGATAGTTTTGGTCCTTCCTCCCAGGACTCTCTCGCTACAGCGAGAACAGCCCAGTACCACGCCTGCACTTAACCAATTTCAGCCCTATCCAGTCATGCATACACCTATATATATATATATATATATATATATATATATATATATATATATATATTAACAACATATATCTAAAAAAACACACATGAGTATACATTTATATTTATATAATTATCTATAATTAATATTACAAAATTTGGAGCGTTACACAATGTATACAGACTTCTTTCCATGTTTCAGTTAGTAATAACAAGTGTCCTCCATATAAATAGAGTATGCATTATGTCCTTTAACACAATATCCACTTAAGTTTCCATATGTTGGGAAGTTATTAATCATACAAAAATTCATGGCACACAACTTAAAGTATTCATTGCAGTAAGCTTAAAGACATCAACACATTCTTCTCACAATATTTTCAAGTCTTCAACCAAGGGGTTTAGATAAATATCAATGTCATTTCCTAATTGTTTCAAGCAAAAAATCATCATTGACAACATAACGTGTTTACATTTCATCCACAATCAAAGAGAGATATTATAAATTACTAAAAAAAATAAGTCATGAACTATGTATACTACTTAAGTTATCATAACGATTCATTTCATTTGTTGTAAGTCTAAACCTAAGGTTTCTTGACTCATTGCCAAACTATAGAAATAATTGGTTATATTTTCCATTTGAGAGCATCAACTAGATGTTCTAAAATTGAGTTATTAAATTATCATCCCACAAAGATTATTTTCAATTATCAAAATTTTATAATTTAATTATTTGAACATAAATAGTGCATAATAAAATAGAATAAAGAAAGATACTAACTAAACGATAATTAAAAGAACAAGGGTTAGCACAACTTTCGATGAGAACTATTTGAAATAAACCTAAGGGATATGATTTAACCTTTACATCTCTTTATGTTTACTTTAGTTTAATTTCAATTCCAGATTTTTTATAATTGTCAATCACTTATACTAAATCTATTAACACTAGTCATGCAATGTTAACATTATTTTTCCTAAGCTATCACTCTTAATAATCATGCAAGGCAAACAAAAAAGGAAAGCATAAAGAATCAATAAGTTTGTTAATTTAATAATGACTAAAAGAGAAAAACTAAATTTAATACACTTAATTCTTTCTCTCATTTTATCCTAGAAGTGTGTGTGTGTGTGTATGTGTGTGCGCTGAGAATGTTGGACTGTGACTAGTTTGATTGACGAAGATTTGGCTAAGTGTCTGGTGCAAGGTATTCTCGCAGAGCGACAGTTTAGAGTGCAATTCTGAATGCAATCTCGCTGTAGTAAAAGGGTCTCACTGTAGCGAGATTCTGTAGAAATCAGAGTGTAGTTTCCTCTGAGATTTGCGTTGTAGCAAGAAAGAGTGTCGTTGTAGCGAGAGTGTTGCAATCAGAAAGAGATTTAAAGAGGTTTAGGGTTTAAAAAATTTCATTTTTCATATCTCCCTTCAAAATTTCTTTGATTCTCTCAATTTCAAACCCTATTTCACCGATTAAATTTCCTCCAAAGCCTTTTAGGAGCAAGATTGAAAGTTAGAATTGTGCGGAAAACGCTTGGAGATGAGTTTTAATAGTTAGAGTTTCAGTTTCTCATCTTCATTCTTTGTTTTCTCAGCTTTCCTTGGTTCTCATGAAATTCTTTTATGTATTTAGGACTAAGTTCATGTGGAGAGCCTTCTCGTTATTGATTTCATGCGTGGATCTTCAATCTGAGGTAAGGTGAAACTCTACCCTATCTCATTGTGTTTGATTTACTGTTTATTTTGCTAAATATTGAAATGTGGTTGAGATAGAGGGTAAGAAATATGTGTTGATGGAAATTGTTATGTGTTTGAATGCAATGTGATGTGTGATGAGATGGCTGAACCCATTGAGGGTGAATGTGTGTTGTGATATGCCGTTAATTAATAAGGATTCAATGTTTAAGAATGAATATGGGCCTGAGTGCCATGTAATGTGAATGAATGTGGGCCTGAGTTCAGTATGCAAATATAAGTATTGTGTGAAATTGAAATGTGTGTGAATGAGACATGTTATATGCGGTTGTGAATATGCTATGAATGGTTCAACGATACACTAGAGGTGTGGAAGATGAGGATGGTAGAAATACCTTGGAGAAGAAAGAGTGGTGGTGACACTAACAGTGAGCATAGGTACACCACAGGCCACACACTCTCCTCCTGACTAAACCTCTTACCAACACCTTTGTCAAGCGACTCATGACAGCACACGTGATATCCGTGAGGCAGGGGTAAATGGCAACCATCTATGGTGTAAAATTGTGATAACAGTGCCACAGTGAGTGTGGCTACGTACAGTGTGCGCACGTGTATGAAAATATTTTAGTGCCGTGAGTGCATCGGTTATGAATTAAAATGGAATGCTTAAAAGTGTTGTCTGTTATTACCTATATTTGAGTAAAATATGTTAAAATACATCAGGATGTGCAAAGTGAATCTCTATGTTATGTGTGTATTGGATAGTGTAGAGTACTCATCATTATATTTATTTTTCAGGTGACCAAGACGATTAGTACTGGACTCAATGAATGATGGATGAAATTGCTATAGAACTTAGGAATTTATTTTGAAAATTTGATGTATTAATTAAGTCCTATAGCAATGATTGATAGAATTTACAATCTATCTCTATTTCAAAATTTTTTATTGAACCATGATTTGGGAACCATTTAAATGAAAATTTTTATTATTCTTAATTTTACGAAATTTATTTATTTATAAAATTAAATTTAGGTGTTACAGCCTTTATAAAATCTAAAGGACTAAAATATTTAACACTAACCATTTAAAGAGTAAATTGAGAGTTTAGTGAGATGAAAATAATTTTTGTATCATTTTCTTTATGACATCATCCCTTTGTTCATATTTCTCTCTTCATACCCTTCTAACATCTATTTTTTCCCTCTTCCTTCTTATTGTCCTTCATTTTCTTCTTTGAAATCACCCACACAAATTCAGGACCTGATTCTTCGGCCCCACAGTTCGCCACCATGTTCACATCATGTCTCGGGGCCATCATGTCAAATCAGAATTGAGCTTTTGTCTTGTTAGAACTACAACACTTTGAGTCAACCACGTGAAGTCATCAAATTCATTTTTATCTCTTTATTGTGACTACCCCTGTGAATCATCATGACTACCCCTGTGAATCATCTCTGCTACAAAAATCAAAAATTATTGCTACAATTATATTATCAAAAACTATAATGTCATACAATCGAACCATCATTAGATATTGACACATATGTGCTAAAGTCACTTTTGTAAGTTTTGTTAAATGATATTAAATTTAATAAAAAGGTAAAGTTAGGTTAAAAAAAATTATTTTATAAAAATTATACATAATTTGTAAGACTAAATTAAAAAAATATTATGACGTGACATTATTAAAATACAAGTCTCAACTTTATAAATAGTTGAATTGATGGTTTTAATACCTCCTAAATCATGGAGGTACAAGAGAAATGTCGTTATCTTAAAGGATAGAATTACTTAAATTAAGACGTGGCTGTGATGGAAGATTTATAAAGTAAAGAAGGGGCTGTAATTTTATACCATTATATTCCAACTTTATATCATTAATAAAGAAACATAGTGAGAGTTACAACCCCATAACTCCAACCTCGCATGGGAACTCCATATCCAAACCCCATAACTCCAACTAAAACCCGCATTGGGTGGATTGGCATAGGCGTAATGGGTGGTGCCATGGCCTCTCGGCTCCTTCATGCTGGCTACACTCTCACCATCTACGCTCGCAACCCATCAAAGTGTGTTCCTTTGCAGTCCCAAGGTGCCCATGTCGCCAATTCCCCAGCACAAGTTGCACAGTGCAGCGATGTTGTGTTTACCATGTTGGGTCACCCACAAGATGTTCGATCAGTGGTCTTAGACGACCAAAGTGGCGTTCTTTGTGGGCTAAGTCCTCATTGTGTAACTGTAGACATGACTCCACCCTGATCTTGCCAGGGAGATAGACAGAGCAGCACGTGGCAGAGGTTGTTGGTCTGTGGATGCACCCGTTTCGGGGGGGGATATTGGTGCTAGAGATGGCAAGTTGGCCATTTTTGCTGCTGGGGAATGTGTAGTGGTGAAATGGTTGCAACCCTTGTTTGAGATTCTGGGGAAGGTTACCTATATGGGTCAACCTGGTTGTGGGCAGAGCTGCAAAATAGCCAATCAGATTACCGCGAGTTCAAATTTGGTTGGTTTGAGTGAAGGTTTGATGTTTGCAGAGAAGGCTGGGCTCGATGTCAAGCAGTTTTTGGTAGCAAGTAGAGGAGGGGCAGCTGGGTCTAATACTATGGAGTTGTTTGGTAAGAGGATGATTCAGAGAAACTGGGGAGGTGGTTTTGTGGGGTATATGGTGAAGGATTTGGGGATGGGGGTGGATGTTGTGGAAAGAACTGAGGATAACGAAGTTGTGGTGCTGCCTGGGGCCTCATTGAGCAAGCAGCTGTTTTCTGCCATGGCAGCTATTGGAAGTGGAATGTATGGTCCTCAGGGTATTATCACTGCTATAGAGAAGATCAATGGAAAATGACCATTTGCATTAGAAAGGGCCAATGTGAAATAAAATTATTTTGCTCATACTTCGAGGACTTAAGTATTTGATTATCATCAAGGTTTCGTTCTAGTCGAACTGCTTTGGAGATGGGAGTCAAGAGAAAATTATACGATTCGCTATAAGTTGAATATTTCCGAAATGCAAGCCTGTCGTACCTGTAGATTCTGATTTTCCTGGTTTAACCTTCTGTTGTCTATGTAATAACATGCTTTGCGTCAGTAAATAGATGTACAAGTGAAAATTATACATTACACCTGGAAGTGATATTTGAACTTAAAAAGAGCTAACTTCATTATCTGATACACGGGTAAAAAACCGGAAAGCAAGGCGTTTTCTATATTTCTGATTTCCGAATGGTATAAACACGATGAAAAGCATTACAAACTCAACTCACCATCCAACCTATGTCATCCCTCTTATTAATATTATTGTAACACTGTTTACAAAAAATTTCAACCAGTATGATAAATAAAGTGAAGCACAAATTACAACTACTCGCCAAAATTTATATCCTGGTTGCAGGAAACATGTACATCTCACACAAAAGCAAATGCATCCAGATTTCACGATAATATAAACGATTTCTTTCATCCTTTCCTTAAAGGAACCTGATGACCGGCTATAATATTAAAAATCATTGCCATGCTGCTCATGCGGCTTTAAAACTCTCAGACAAATGCTGATAGTACTGCTTTTGCTGTTCCAAAAATCGAAATAAATTCCAAAGTAAATTGCTAGATCTAATAATCCAGGATAAGGCATAAGATCTCATGAATTGAAATATAGCAGAATGAGCCATACCATGTCAGACACAGACGGAGATACTTTACTCAGTGCTACCTCAAAATGATTTATCTTGATGGTCGATGTATTGCAAGTTGTCTCAAATGAGGTTAAATTCTCTTCAAGAGCAGCCATTGCTGCTTCGTTCATCTGTATAGCAAAAAAAAAATCAGCAAATTTCCCAAATTGACTCCCCACTTTTCTTATAATCATACCTTTTTACAACCAATATTCAAACAAGTATATACTACACACACATGACATGCAATATGGTAAAGGGCCAACACATGTAGCATTAATATAGAACAGAGACAAACCAATGCGGCAAGATCAGCGCCACTTAGGTTTTCACAAGCTTCCATTTTTCCGATGGCACTCAAATCCACAGTGGCATCAACAGGCTTCTTCCTTGCTAGAGCTTTCAATATTAAAACTCGCTCATCTGGGCTTGGAAGTGGAACATAAAGAAGTTTACCAAACCTACCAGGCCGTAGGACAGCACGATCCATCACCTCAGGCCTGAAAAATGAGAAAGTGACTTGAATTCAGTGTGATGTGAAGTTAACTGATTAGAGAACAGAGATGGTGAATAAAATGTACCTATTTGTAGCACCAATCACAAAAACACCCCGCCGTTGCTCTGCACCATCTAGCTCAACAAGCAACTGCAATTTTATATATTATCATTTTATCCATGTTGTTTATCAAGAATAAAAAATCAAAATGACCCTTTGTTTTTCATTACAAAAAACTAGTAACTATTTGACCTGGTTCAATAGTCGTTCAATAACCCATCCACCTTCTTTACCACGTTTGGTTGTCAAAGCATCCACCTGAAAATGGCACAAAAATAAATCTATTATTGTAACTAGTAGGTATACTACTATGCCATTCTACAACAAACTGTTTGCTGAGAACTCATTTGAGCCCTTCAAAGACCAAGGAAATTAATAATGGATACCTACACAGGCCCTGCAGATGACTTGTTCACTGAGTAAGCAAATATTAACTTTTCCAAACACACAATGATCACTGCACTTACGTGAGAGAAATTTACTAAACAATAAATAAAGGAACACAACAAAAACAGCATGTAGTGCAGGATAGATTTTTCAAATGAAAAAAGTTCAAGACAGTAATCTTTTCTTATAGTTCATAAATTTCAAATGGGCAGGCTAGAGTAAAATATTAAAGTTAACCAGCATTCTTAAGAAGAGAGAACCACAAACCTCGTCAAAAAAAAGTATACAAGGTGCACATGTCCTTGCACGACTAAACAATGTCCGAACTGCAAGCTCACTTTCTCCAACATATTTATTTAAAAGTTCAGGTCCCTAAAAATTCAATGCAAACAAATTAATCATTTAAAAACTAGTTAACTCAAAATATAGGAAAGTCCCGTAAGCCAAAACCAAAACTAATTAGAAAATGGTGGATTACATATGCTTAGACAGACCTTAATATGAATAAAGTTAGCTCCTGCCTCATTGGCAACAGCTTTGGCAATTAGTGTTTTACCACAACCTGGAGGTCCATAAAGCAAAAATCCTGTCTCGAGATCCACCCCAAGCCCCTGAAATAAATGAATCCAAGAACAGTGATCAGCCTGTAATATACAACTTATCATAATTTTTCATGAATTACAAAACAGTGAAGACAAAAATCAATTAATCAATCTTTAGAAAGAGAAAAAAACATGAAACTTATCAAGAAAAATTGAAAATACAGCTACCAGATAATTGAATATTGATCAGAGATTTTCTGAATACTACATAGATAAGGAAGCACATCTAATTGTAAGGTTGATCTAGAATAACATAATACTCATTATGAATTACATCCCATAAATCCCTATCCAGAAGTAACTCTCTAACTTCGAAAAAGAATATTGATAATTCTGGCAAAACACCTGACTTTGTATTAAAAATAAAATTCCAAAATTTACACAATTAACACCATAGCAGCCTATTTTACCAAACCTTCTGTTCAACAATAAAAGGAGTGCCATTATCAATTTAGGGAGGAAATAATGGGAGATTAAACAAGATCAAACTACATTTATTGTGCCATGACTTAAGTATGTATGTTGTACCCAAGAACACACAACTTCATTCATATATACAAATTTGCATATTACAATTTCAGGAACCAATTTGAGGAAAACCAAGGCATGCAGACCCTTCATCAAACAGTTGGTATGCAGAGAGAACATTTTGTATTAGCACAAATAGGGGGAGGGATAGGAGGAGCTCCAGTCCAGCCTAGTTCAAGAATCAAATTTCAGAGAAGAAGAAACATGTGTCATCAGAAACATTGTCCTGCCTTAGAAAAGAGATGCAGACAACATAGATCCAATTTCACATCAAAATATGTTTCAACAAGAGTTGGTAGTGTGAAAAACTAAATCCATTTCTATAAAAACAAAAGACGCAGCAACAAGGAAAACAGAAAAGAAATAAAGTTAACCAAATCCACAATATTGAAAACATGTAGTATTCAAAGATTACCTCATAATGCTCAGGATATTTTATGCGCCTTACAATATAGCGTTCAAACTCCTGTCTTAAAAGATCAAGCCCACCAACATCTTCCCATTTTACATTTGGAATGGAAGAGAATCCTTCTCTTCTTGAAGAAGGTTGCACCGTTTTGACTGCTTCCTGCATGTATACCCAGATAAATATAATAATTATCACTTTTATGAATATAAATGTTAAAGGAAAATCTAAGACGCAATACAATATTTGTAACAACAAATTATTTCAGTTACAGAGAAAGAAACTTTATTGGAGAGAAGAAAAGGTGGAGGATAAGGTATTCTCCCAAACACTGGATAGTAAACACAGGTATTAACAAATAGATGTGATGATATGCAACGTGAACTTAGAGAAAAAGGTTCCTGGGGATTACAAATAATAATAGTAATAGTAGTAGTAGTAATAAGTAAACAAAGACACAAATCATAAGCACCTCAAAATCAGACATTTTGATGGCAAGCTTATTGATTTCTCCAGGCAACCAAGGTTCCTTCCACCAGTCTTCAGCATGCTTGCTCATGATATCTTGAGATAATTTACGTTTCCTTTCATCAATTATTCTCTTCATTGCCAGATTGCCAGCCTTGTTAACCAGAGCTGCCAAATCAGCACCAACAAATCCTGGTGTAGACCTGGCTATTTTCCGTAGATCAAATAAACCCTCAAGTCTAAGATTGCTAGTAAGCACAGAAAGAATCTCCTCCCGGGAAGATTCATCGGGAATGCCAATGATAATCTCACGATCAAACCGACCAGGTCTTCTCAGGGCAGGGTCAACAGCATCAGGCCTATTTGTAGCCCCAATTACAAGCACATATCCAGGACGACAATCATCAGAACTCTCCAAATCATCAGCAGCCGGTTGCAAAAACCTGTTTGATTGATCCATGCAAGTCATTAACTGTGTCACAATTCGTTTCTCCATCTCACGCTGTAAATTCTCTCTTTTTGAAGCAATTGCATCAATCTCATCAATAAAGACAATGGAGGGAGCACTCCTGTATGCTTTAGAGAAAAGCTCCCTTATATTTTCTTCAGATGCACCTAAGTATGAAACACAAACATATTTAAGAAAGTTCATCAAAATTGTCCAGTAGCAGTAGTAGTAGTAGTAGAAGAAGAAGAAGAAGAAGAAGCAATGCCAATATTTAGTCAAAACAATGCACAAACACTCTGCAGTCGCCAGCCAAAGCTAATTCATTCAAAACTCAATCCTTGAAAAAATGAGCAATGTACTTCAGAGTATAACTAAAGCAAGAGTAACAAAAATGAAACCGAATGAATAATCAACAAGGACAAGTTAAAGTTCAATTTCAAGAGCACTTGATAGTGTAATAATACCTGAGACTCCGGAAACCACCTCAGTAGCTGAAATCTGATAAAAAGGGAGACTAGTCTCATTGGCTATAGCATGAGCAAGTTTAGTCTTCCCACAGCCAGGTGGTCCATGCAACAGAATTCCAGCCATTGGCCTCACACCTAACTGTCTAGGCAACTGAGGATGGTACAGTGGCACAATCACCTCCATCTTCAGTTCCTCCACAACCTCCTTCATTCCACCCAAATCCCTAAACCTCGGTCCATCCTTCCCCTTTGCCTCGGCGTTCAAAATCGAATTTGAATTCGAATTGGAATCCCTCTGTTGCTTCCCTTCCGACTTGTCGTCATCCACAAGCGTAGTAGTGCCCTTACTACCATTCCCCACCTCCAATTCAACGTTCTTTTCCTCCGCCACAACCTTCTTCGGAGTGTACGAATTTCGCAACATTGTCTTCATCAAATCAAATGCAGGTTCCACCTTCTCCTCATAAATTGCGTCCTCAGACGTCGACCCAGACACTGCCCCACCTTCGTCGTCGCTCTCCGAAGAGGAAGCAGAAGCAGAAGCAGAGGAGGTTGATGGATCGCTCTGCATTCTCCTTCGGAGGTGTAATGCTTCCATCTTTTGTAATCTCTCTTCATTTTCATCAAAGTTCTTCTGTCTCTTTCGAGACGCACTTCGACACTCTCCTTCGTCGTCGTCATCATGGTGATGCTTGGGAGTGGGAGAATGGTTGGGCTTGGGGATGGATTGAAGAGCTTCCTGGACAAATCGAACTAGGGTTTTGTGCTTGGTTCGTTGGTAATCGGGGTAAGATGAGCGAAGATGATTCACGATTTCATCGGCGGTGGAGTACCTGGACTTGCAGGATTCAAGTCGACGGCGAAGGGTTTCTTGCAGTGACCTTCCACCGTTTCTTTTTCCCATCTTCTCCTTCTAATTTGCCCTTCCGCTGTTATTCAGCTCATAAACCCTAATTAAATAAAAAGGATGTTGTTCAGCTCCTAAAACCCTAAGCAAAACGCGCCGTTCAGTGTTTTTTTAAAGGTTATATATAATATATTTTAGTTTATATAAAGTTATCGTTACTCTATCTCTATACATCGCTGACGTGGCAAAGAGAATTTAACATCGTGGCATCCTACTCAATAAGTTGAATTTGTTTTATTTTATAAAATGACTAAAATTCACTTTTAGTTTCTATAAAAGAATATTTTAATCAAAAAGTTATCAAATTTTACATGAGAGGCAGTGAAATACATATTTTATGTTATTAAAATATTTTTATTTAATTTAATACATGTATAATTTATTTTTTTTCTTTTTAATTGCACGTAATATTATATTTTAAAAAATACAAAATGTTACTCCAATTCAAAGTTTTAGCTAACGTGGTGTTCTAGATATTTGTGATGTTTAGTATTAAGTGTACTGGATTTAATAAAAAAACAAATAAACAACCAACCCTATTATTCTTTCCATATTCTAAATAATATAATGTCATACAACTTTGTAAATTACAACAGTGATTAATGATTAATGGATATCAAGAAATTATAGAAATTAAAAGTGAATTCTAGTACTTTTATAAAAATTAAAAACATATTTAACTAATTTATAAATATATTTATTTTAACTCTTGAAATTACGAGCATCAATCAATTTAATATTTATTTTTATAAAAATATCACTTTAATTTTTAATATTTTGAAAAGTGTTCATTTTAGTCATATTTTTTATTCTATTTTACTTTATTTTACATTAAAAATATTAAATTAATGTTATTTTATAGAATTAGATAATAAAATAATATTTTTACAAATTATTAATTAAAATAATTGAAGTTTACATTTTAAGAAAATAAAATATTTATTTATTTGTCAAACGATTTTTTGTTGCCCAAGTTACTCTTCCTAGTATTATTATTGGTCTCCTTAATCTAAAGAAATTGAATGTCTTTGTTTTTCAGATCAGGACAAAATCATATCTATTAAAAAATTTAAAATATTAAAATATAAAAACAAATTATAAAAATTAAATTAAAATTAAGTTTTAATTAAAAAAACAAATATTTAATGGAGGGAAATTTGTGCGATGTAGCAAGAAAATAATAATAATTTAACAAATGTTTTTCTTTAAAATACTTTTTACAAATCCTATCTTTAAAAATGAAAAATTGTATTTAATAGTTTTTTCTTATTCATTTTATAAGAAATAAATAGTCATATTTTCAAAATTAATAAAAACTAATTATATGTCATGAATTTAAACTATATTAAAAAATAATTATATACAATATTAAATAGTTAAATCAATAATTTATATATTAAATGAATAAACATATTTACTTAAATAAGTGTTTTATTAATACAAATTTCACATAATAAATAAAGTATAAAAAATAACAATTAATGTATTTTAAAATATATTTTATTTTTTATAATAAATTTTCAAAGATAAAAATTTAATAAATACCAATAAAGGTTAGTCCAAGTAGCAAACTAATAGATATTGCTTAAGCAAAGTCTTAGGTTTAAATCCTTGTATATGCAAAAAAATATTTAGTGATAGACTCATGCACCGCATCAAAGTGCACTATCGAGACAAATTCGGATTAAACCATATGGGAAACAAAATGTAAAACTTAGAACATATAACATCTTTATTTATTTATACAGTTTAAGAAAATGATTTTTATAGTGAAAAGAGGAAATTAAATTAAAGTTTGCTTATATTCAAAATGCAAAGTGTGAAAATGTAAAACTTTCATTTAAATTACTCAGATTTATAAAATTTCTCGATAATAAAGTAATGAAAAATTAATAAATTTAGGTAAAAAGCTGAAATAACATGTATGTACATTGGTCTTATTAATATATAAGAGTTTAATATTTACAAAACATCGTTTCAAAATGCATTAGGACTCATTTATACTATCTACAAAGTACAAAATACAGTAAGTCTTAATGAGCAGTATATCTACACCAAAAGATTAAAGACAATCCTAGTCATTATCCCTAAACCATCTCTCAATCTCTCTTAATTCTTCTGGGGATATATCCTCGTCTTCACCAAGATTGCCCGCATCAGCCATTGCTTCAGTACTCTGATTTGCTCTGCGGTAAAATGACTTGATCTTCCATGTTGATCATAACACATAAAAGTATATACATAATTTCACACATCTGGTGGTTTGATCAATTCTCTATATTTATACAAGGTATGGTGGATCCTACCACTGCTAGGGTAATTAAAGGGAACATCATATCATACTGCCACTTCTAAAGTAAATACAATACTTGAACCATCATTACTATTTACAATGAAACTACAATGGCATAACCGCTACCACTCCCTACATACATAGTTTAGTTTGCTACTAATGCGCAGCTCTGATAACCTAACGAATTTATAAGGATCTGTCATACTTATTCTTTAAAAGATTTTGTAAGGATGAGTCTCTTTTCTCCTTGTTAACATGAATCTACAGTTATGTCAAACAACACAAACAAAATAATACACTAATCAATCAAAAAATAAAGTTGATATGCATGCATTAATCATTAATATATATATATATATAACTTTCCTATATTTCCTTTCTACTATTCTTAGATTTCTCATTTCAAACTTTCATTGCTCTTGGGATCCTTTGAGATTTTCCTTAGTATAGATAGTTGCTAGATAGCCGCAGCTACACAAATACCTTTTAGCAAATGAATAAAAAGTTTAGGTCAGAAAATAAGTATGAGGCCTGTGGTGCTTTTACTTGCAATAGTTATGCGCAAATCAAGAAAAGCATCTGCTATCCCTATTTTTTCAAGATTTCTAAAATCGTCTCCATCTTTCATACTCCTAATGTATCTTTGAACTATCCACACTTATCATCATCATCATATTTCCTTTCTCATCACTATTTTCCTTTTTAGATTTCTCATCATAATCTAACTTGATACTTTAAGGCTAACATTTTGTTCATCCTTTCTTCTTTTTATTTTATTCAAGTTCACTAATTATATCATTTTCCAATCATTCATTGCCGAAGTTGGTGACCTCCAGACTAAGTCCACAAACATACATACATATATGTATAACAAACATATCATTCAAATCATCAAATATAAGGAAAACATATTTCATTAAAATATATAAATATTCACAACCAAATAATCTCACAACAACATTTTCATGAGTACAAACATATCATGTTCTTAGCAATGAGGTAGAGCTCTCTTTACCTCTAATAGACAAATTTAGTGATGAAGTTAGTGGAAAAGCTCGTCCAAAAGACTAAGGTCTTCCTACACATTATGGAGAAGAGAGAAAATAGAGAAAATAAATATGAGAACAAAGAGCTAAGCTCTAAGATATTCACTAGCGATTCCGTAGAGTTGAGATTCAAGCTTGGATTCAGAGTAAGTTCTGAGCTCATAGGCTTTTCTCTAGGAGGAGGGAAAAGAAAGTTCAAAAAAAAATAATTAGGAAATATTTTTTGGATTGTAATTCAAGTTTCTAGGCTGGAATCCCTTAAATACCCCTCAATTCTCACACGATTTTGCTTGAGCGAGACTATTCTCGCCTAAGCAAGCTCTTTCTTGCTTGAGTGAGAATACTAGACACTGGTTCTCCCAAGTTTTTTCTGGTATTCTCCCTTGAGTAAAAGTCATTCTAGCTTGAGCAAAATGATGTCTAGCAAGTTGGCAATTTTTCTATTTTTCTTGTGAGTCATCGCCTGAGAGACTCATCTTACCTGAGAGAGATTCCTTCTCGCTTGAGTGAGATAACCTCTCGTCTAGACAAGGAGATAGTTTGGTTGAATTTACCCTATTATCGCTTGTTGAGTTTATCCTATTATCGCTTGAGCGAAAATACCCTAAAATCTTGTGATTCTAGGTCAGTCTCACTTGAACAAAACCTACTTCACCTGAGCAAGACTCCTTGTATTAGACCTTGTTGAGACTTTTCCTTCAAACACGGCAAGTGTACCGGGTCTGTTGCAAGCAATAAACGATAGAGTACCAGAATATCATCCTCAAAAAGTAATTCAAAATGTATTAATTGTTAAAATAAATATTAATTGAGCTTATATACAATAGAATTGATTGGTGATTTTTTATGAAATTTTGAATAACAATTATAACGAAAAACAATAATGAAAAATATAGTAAAATTCAAAGTAAAGAAACTAGGATTGAATTTCATCTATCTCTTTCTGTGCTCTAGTAATTCAGCGATAAACATAACAATCATTTTCAATGAATTTGATGCAAAATACAAAAATCATATATTTCAATTCCTTGAAAATATATTTTTAAAATAATTTCTTAAATGTTAATTCCTCAAACAGTTAACAAATTATCCAACATTAAAATCAAGATTTAAAAGCAATCAATAACTTGAAATCTATTCCTAAAGTAACTAGTTATTAAGTAATCTCAATCAGATATGAATCTAAGCAATACCTTTCCAAATATAACTTAGATCTAAGTTCAAGAAATTATCAAATAGACAGATTCAAATATTAACATAGATTGAAATCACCAAATCAATAGAAATGAAGAAGAAATACTATATTTATATAAATTACTGAAAATACATCAAATTTGAAGATTTACATTCAATCTCATACAAATTTTAGCTGCTCATTGCAACCATAGTGACAAGAAATAAAATACAAACGATGTAGAACATCAAAACTTGAGTATTCCTACTCTATTTCTTTGTCCTCCGCCGCTCTCTTTCTCTCTGAAATCATGAAATGGAACAGTGTCTTCTTAAGCAGCTCAAAAGGTGTGTTTTATATTGGTCTGGACGAAGCTTCTCTCGCTACAGTGACACCTCCTCACTATAGCGAGACATGAAGATAACAAATTAGATCATCTTGTTTGTCTCTTGCTGCTTGCTACAACAATACAAGGAACTCTGGCTATAGCGACACATTCTCGCTGTAGCAAGAGGAGCACATAATAGCCTTCACAAAAATAAGCATTCTTACTACGATATCTCGCTACA